GAATCGTACGGTGTCGAATAATTTGGTGTCGAATAAATCTGTGTCGAATCGAGCGGTGTCGAATCGTACTGTGGTCAAACGGAACCCGCCCTACGAAATTTATTGACAACATCAACTATATGCCGATGTGTTTGACACCTTTGCCGAAGACTTTTGGTTTGCGGGGTCGGCTGGAAAAGGGATATTTTCCGCATTTATTTAACACTCTAGCAAATCACTCCTACGTCGGACCGTTACCAACCGTTGAATATTAGTCGCCGGATAGTATGTCTAGCAAAGAACGCGAGCGTGTTTTGTCGTGGCACGCGGAACAGACGCACAAAAACGCAGTCTTTGACTTTCAACGCGAGATAGTGCGTTATTGTCGTAACGACGTCGATATGTTGCGGCGAGCGTGCATGGCCTTNTGCAAGATATTTCTCGAGCGCGGAAACATATGTCCATTCGAAGAACGCACGACCATTGCTTCCACATGTATGCGAGTTTTTCATAAGATCTTTTTAAGTGAGGAAGTGATCGGCGTCAGTTTCCTCGCGGCGGATATTGCCTCGCGGATACGCAATCCCGCCAAACGCTGCAGTGGCTGGTGTAAAAGCTGTGTCTCAATTCGTTTTGGGGAAAATTCGGACAACGATCAAATCTAACCTACCAAGTACCGAGGTGGTAAAGTCGCAAGAACGTCTCGTATCGCTATTATCAAGCCCCGAGCACGAGGTAACCTACATGTTACCTGTGAATGATGAGGTACTATATGTTTCGTGGCGAATGCGAGACGAATTCATACCTTCTCCGATTACCAATGTGATAATAACAGCGTACACGACGGCACAAGCGCGATTGAATCTGTACGAATATTTAGAACGTTTAGACGAGCGCGTTCCCAGCAAACACAGAATATAAGTGCTATATAACATAGAAGTAACATGTAATATAACAGCTGTTATTCTTGAGTAACATCAATGTTATATAACTTAATTTCAAACTTTCAATTTTATTATAATTATGTTATGTAGCTATTAAATTATTTTGTTATTAGATGGCAATAATATTATACCAGCAATATAAGTGATATGTAATAGGTTACATAACAAATGTTATATGATTTTACCAATGCTGTCCCCCCGAATGGGTTCCCACCTTGTAGTAGCTCCGAGGCGGGAGCTCGGGGCTCGCGGAGCGCTCGGTGCGCACGTGGTCTGGCCGCCTCGCAGCAACTACATAGAACGTTTATTTTGTTCCC